TAAAGAAGCCGCAGCGAGCAACAGCCGCTTCGATCGTTGCCCGTTTCGCGTACGAAGTTGTCGAGCGTTGGATGGGAAATAAGAAACCGAAAAGGCGCGCGAGATTCAACTGGTCGCACAAGTGTTGGTTAACGCGACGCAAACTGCGGCTTGGCAGCACTCATCGATAGCTGCGCAACGCTGCGCATATCGAAAGCAGACTCATCGATAGTGGCGGCCATTGAGCAGTATCGCTACGATTGGCTCGCTCTGAAAATAAAGTGCAATATTTTTTCGCTAAAAGTGCAATACATATATAGACCATTTGCGGATCTGTGCTACACACAATGTCGCTGACTATAGTGAAATATCGAAAAACAGCTGATGGCGTTCAGCCCATTACGCCCACCATGATATTTAGACCTAAAATTGAAGTGCAGCAACAGCAAGCTGTCAAGGTATAGCACACATATCTATATACTAACTTAATGCTACCACAAACAGCTGTTTCGAGGCGGTCCGGCAACGCACTGGGCGTTCTGATTACATTTAAGGAATATTAGAATACAATTTGTGTATTATTTTATTGAAACTGAAACTGAACAATGCATTACAGAAGATAGCAGGCGGCAGCATTGCGCTCGGCAAAATACCTGCCGGAGCTATCATCAGGACAAGCATGAAACGAGCCTCGACCAGCGCCACAACTCCAGGTTTATCTAATTTKCCKATTATTSTAAGCACGACTTASATTACCAAGTTTATATATCTTCCGTAGCATCTGCGTTGGTAAAGGCTCCCAAGTTTGTGAACCAATCGAGCGGCGATGGCAGCTCATCTTCTCCCACGCTCTCCTGGCAAACGTCCTCACCGTTGATCAACATAAGAAAGGAATCTTTAGGCGCTGCAATTAGTTCACTGCCGCCCAATACGATTATAAAAGCAACCACCAGACAGCCGWTAGYCACGTCCAACAGCCCAGCTGCGACTGCAGGCGCAATGGCATCAGTTCCAGCCGCAGCGCCCGCAGTCACATCTGCCGTGCGTCAGGCGGTCTTCCTGAAACGCGATATGCCGCAGCGCACGATGCGCAGCATGACTCTGGGATCCATTGACATGGCATCCACATTGCACCTGGGCGTGTCCAGCGCCCATTTGCCGCTTTTCAAGCGCCACATATGCAAATACGCAAATCTCTCACATCTCGACTGCTGCATAGCACTGCGAAAGCTGCGCCTCAACGAGCCCTTTGCACTGCTCGCCGAATTCTTCGAGCTGAGCGAGCTGGAAGTGGAGCAAACCTTTAAGCATACGATTGTCAAGCTGGCACGCTGCCTGCGACCCCTGATTCGCTGGCCGGACGCCAAGCACTACTCTGAGCGCCTGAAGCACATGCCGCTGGCGTACAGGGCGAACATGTTGCATGTGCGATCGGTGATCGAGTGCGTGGAGACGGATTTGAGCGAGAAGCTGAACTTTGGCTGCGGCAGCTACAAGTTTATACTGTGCCTCAACACGAATGGTGAGTGGTTTGACGACATTTGAGCTATACAGCAATATAAGTGGAAATTACTCCTCAGGTATTATAAGCTATGTCTCGGACACCTATCGCGGCGACTGCGATGATCTGCAATTGTTTGAGGCTAGCAACTTCAAGGATGTCATTCCCAAGTACCTAACACTGTGCGCAGAGCCAGGCCAAGCCGTCAAGCGCTTGCCCAAGACTAATGCTGACGATATCCTAACAGATGAGGAGTACGAGGCACAGGACGAACAGGAGCCCAAGCCCATATTAAGCAAATATGATGAGCAACGCCTGGCTGGTCAACTGGCCAGCATGCAGTCTCTCTCCGTCTCGAATGGAGCGCTCACCTCCACTCGTGCACCACAGCTGCAGCTGCCCACGTTGCGCGTGAATGAGCCCGCCTGTCGCTCCCAGCTGCGCCAAGCGATCGACACACTGCGAGAGTTCAAGATGCTCGATCACTGCGCCGTGCAGCACGCCCCTCTGCTGGGCTATCTGAACGAGATGTTGATTGTGGCCGCTGCACTGTACAATCTGCAGCAGCAGTAGGAGCAGCTGTAGTGCTGCAGACGCTCAAACAGACAGACGGACAGGGCCAAATCGACTCAGCTCGTCGCCCTGATCAAGAATATATATACTTTGTGGGGTCTGCCACGCCTCCTTCTGCCTGTTACATACATTTCAACAAAACCATTATACCCTGATTTCCCATTTTCAATGGGTTCAGGGTATAATTAGAGAATGAATGAACATGAGAATGAAGTTCTAGACGTTGTCACACATTCAACACCGTTCCGTAATGTGGGTTTATATGTTATTAACCAACTAATTCACCCTCTTCCCAGAAATAAGAAATATATATATATTTTTTTGTATTATTTTGCTTTATTCACGGTATAAAGATTACATAAGTAAGCTAAATACATATATATAGTAAATATATGATAAAATAGATTTAACGAACGTTTCCAATGAACTAGCCGCAAATGCAAAGCAAAAACTTATATATATATATATGTAGTATAATTATCAAAAAAAAGAACAAAGTATGAGCAAAAATTATGCAATTTTTCAACATATTTGTTTCTTTGTCTTGGGAATGTATTCGGGGGGTTTAAAATTTTTACTTCATAACTAGGCGCAATGTCAAATAGCTTTTTATATTATTCTCGTATTTCGTTTTGGATCTCAATGGGTTTTGTCTACGGGCCTGGAATGGTTTGAGCTATTTAGCTTAGGCTAAATTTAATAATTAAAAGCTTGCTTAATTCATAAGTGACTTTTGCATACTAAAATACACAGTAGTTAGGTTTATCATCATCAAGTATTACAAAGTATATTATGCCTGCCGCAGCTAAAGAATATATGTAATATATATACATATATATGGTATATATATATGATATGGATCTGCCAGCCATTTAATAGTCGAACCTTATCGTTTGTGCGCTTCGTGTAAAATAATAACAAGTACGGTGTTTCGAATGCTGGGTGCATGATATGGTCTGGATTCTGGGCATCTCAGAGCTTCTGTATGATTTCGAATTTCTTTTTCAGATCGACGCTCTCGTTCTTGGGATCGTACTTCTTCCTGGAGGCCAGCTTGGCGCGCATTTCGGCAACGGTCAGCGGCAAATTCAAACTGCCGGCACGATTCGTGCCTGTCGCTGGCGTTGTGGGCATGGCACTGCCATTGCCATTGCCCATGACATTTGTGGTGCCATTGGTGGTGGTGCTGGTGGTGGTGCTGCTGCTGTAGACGCTGCCATTGTTGTTCATGCTGGCCACCGTGGCTGATGGTGGCGGTGGAGTGCTCATCATTTTGCTGTTGTTGTTGTTGATGCTGCTGCTGCTGATGCTGTTGTTGTTGTTGTTGTTGCTTGGCGATTTGCTGCCATTCTGCGCTGAGACTGGGGCGACGCCAACAACCGGCGCTGGCGCCACAGGCACACCCCTGTCAACCACATCCATGTCGCTGGCATTCATTGTGCTGCCGCTCTGAGTGCTGCTCGCGTTCGAGACGCGCTTCATGCTGGTCACACTGATGCTGCTGATGTTGGCGCTGGCGCCGGGCAGCTCCTGCTTGGTGCCCTCATAGCTGGGCGGACTGCAATTATTATTATTNATGCCGCTGGCGTACAGGGCGAACATGTTGCATGTGCGATCGGTGATCGAGTGCGTGGAGACGGATTTGAGCGAGAAGCTGAACTTTGGCTGCGGCAGCTACAAGTTTATACTGTGCCTCAACACGAATGGTGAGTGGTTTGACGACATTTGAGCTATACAGCAATATAAGTGGAAATTACTCCTCAGGTATTATAAGCTATGTCTCGGACACCTATCGCGGCGACTGCGATGATCTGCAATTGTTTGAGGCTAGCAACTTCAAGGATGTCATTCCCAAGTACCTAACACTGTGCGCAGAGCCAGGCCAAGCCGTCAAGCGCTTGCCCAAGACTAATGCTGACGATATCCTAACAGATGAGGAGTACGAGGCACAGGACGAACAGGAGCCCAAGCCCATATTAAGCAAATATGATGAGCAACGCCTGGCTGGTCAACTGGCCAGCATGCAGTCTCTCTCCGTCTCGAATGGAGCGCTCACCTCCACTCGTGCACCACAGCTGCAGCTGCCCACGTTGCGCGTGAATGAGCCCGCCTGTCGCTCCCAGCTGCGCCAAGCGATCGACACACTGCGAGAGTTCAAGATGCTCGATCACTGCGCCGTGCAGCACGCCCCTCTGCTGGGCTATCTGAACGAGATGTTGATTGTGGCCGCTGCACTGTACAATCTGCAGCAGCAGTAGGAGCAGCTGTAGTGCTGCAGACGCTCAAACACTGAGCGAGATGCTGATTCATTGCGGCTGCAGCATGGTTTTATCTGCAGCAGCAGTTGGAGTAGCTATAGCAAATATTTAGCTTAAATTTAAACYAACGYCTGTTTTAAGGTTGTTACACGCCCAATTATGTACACAAATTGTTAAGAATACAAATTGAATTTTTTACACTGAAACATGTCTGAGAGTATCACTTGATGTTCTCACAGCGATTTGAAATCGCTGACCCTTAGCCGCTAGACAAACGTAGATGTGTATAACGAGTTTGTATTTTGTTTTCATAACATTTCATGTCTTTTGTATTTTAGATTTGCATGGCTTATTCTACAAGTTAACTGAAATGCCTGACGGCCTGCTTTTAACCACTTGCTTTAAATCTATTTGTGCAGCTGTTTGATGCTTCGTTTGCTCGCCGCCTTTGCCAATCGCTCGTGTTAATAGCCTTACCAGTTGATAAACTTAAAATAGTTAATATCGCATAGTAAAAATAGTAGAGAATTAATTCGCGACTTTTAAGTATAAATTTATTATTGAGACATTTAAAGGGCCCGAAAAAAAAAATAACTTTTTGCTTTAAGTTTTTCGCTTGATTTTTTTTAGTCTTTGTCTTAATGAAATATTTTTTTTCAGAATTTAATTTAAGTGTATCACAAATTTCCCATATCTACTTAAGATTTCGCATGATTTTTGGTGTTAGTCTTCGATTCTGAACTAATGACAGCTGTTTATCTGGCGACTTAAAGGCCTTTTCAGTTTGGCGACAGCAAAGCTGATGATTCATTTCAGCTAAAAATAGCTGTTAAAGTTCGTATATCATAAATCAAACTCGTGTCAGAATAAGCTATCACTTTATTTTCATCATATATATTGCTAACTATGGGAATTTTTATATTTCTATATATAATTCAAACTATGGGAATTTAAAGATAAGCAGTGCTTAATGAAAAAAAAAAAATTGGGGAATTTCTAAATTATCAAACTAATTGGAAATATCCAAATCAAGTAATTGTTAATTTACCTTTTTCTGTTTGTTTCGATGTAAGGCGATATACATACATATTATATTGCTTTATGAATTTTAACATTTCTGAAATAAATATATATTTGACATATATATTATGCAAAATGAATTCTTTATTAAATTTAAAATAAAATAAAACAAGTAAGAAAGCTCCAGTCGAGACTGCTCGACTAGGAGATACCCTGAACCCTCCAAGCTGATATTCTAATCATTCTGCACTTCTTTTATGCACACATACATACACATGCATCCACACGCACGCATAAGCCTGCGCTCTGCTAACTGCGCAGTAAGCAGCGACTGCGCTTGGGCTGCGCTGCAGTGTGGGCAATATTATGAGAATTTATTTGTTAAATAATTTCTTTTGTAGACATACGATCTTAATGAAACTTTTAGAGCGTAATCATATGGTGAATATGTGTGTATATTCCAAAGCCCAAGTCTCTAGTATTTGAAATACGCTTTTTACAAAAGTGAGGGTGAGGGGGTGAATTTAAGGGTGGGGGGTAAATTTTAACAAAAACCGAAATTGTATAAATTGCATATAAGCATACATTAAAAATTTGGAGACTCTAGCAATAAGGGTGTAGAAGATATAATTTTATAACTGGTTTTCGATAAGGTTTTTTATCGATAAAAAAAGATCGGNTAGGTTTATCATCATCAAGTATTACAAAGTATATTATGCCTGCCGCAGCTAAAGAATATATGTAATATATATACATATATATGGTATATATATATGATATGGATCTGCCAGCCATTTAATAGTCGAACCTTATCGTTTGTGCGCTTCGTGTAAAATAATAACAAGTACGGTGTTTCGAATGCTGGGTGCATGATATGGTCTGGATTCTGGGCATCTCAGAGCTTCTGTATGATTTCGAATTTCTTTTTCAGATCGACGCTCTCGTTCTTGGGATCGTACTTCTTCCTGGAGGCCAGCTTGGCGCGCATTTCGGCAACGGTCAGCGGCAAATTCAAACTGCCGGCACGATTCGTGCCTGTCGCTGGCGTTGTGGGCATGGCACTGCCATTGCCATTGCCCATGACATTTGTGGTGCCATTGGTGGTGGTGCTGGTGGTGGTGCTGCTGCTGTAGACGCTGCCATTGTTGTTCATGCTGGCCACCGTGGCTGATGGTGGCGGTGGAGTGCTCATCATTTTGCTGTTGTTGTTGTTGTTGCTGCTGCTGCTGATGCTGTTGTTGTTGTTGTTGTTGCTTGGCGATTTGCTGCCATTCTGCGCTGAGACTGGGGCGACGCCAACAACCGGCGCTGGCGCCACAGGCACACCCCTGTCAACCACATCCATGTCGCTGGCATTCATTGTGCTGCCGCTCTGAGTGCTGCTCGCRTTSGAGACGCGCTTCATGCTGGTCACACTGATGCTGCTGATGTTGGCGCTGGCGCCGGGCAGCTCCTGCTTGGTGCCCTCATAGCTGGGCGGACTGCAATTATTATTATTAGTAGCATCGCCATTGCTTGCCGGCGTCGGCGATGTTGATTTCGGTGGCATTTCGTTCGCCTTGCCATCCACATCGATCAGCAGCAGTCGCACCTCGTTGGCAATGGCCTTGATGCGCGCCACCACCTGCTTGTGTGTCTCGCTGCCAATGGAGACGCCGTTCACCTCCAGGATGCGATCGCCCTCCTTCAGGCCAGCTGCCTCGGCTGGCGAGTTCTCGTCCACCTTGCCAATGAACTGGCCCGGCTTCACCTTCTCCGAGTGCAGATTGAAGCCATAGCCATCGAAATCCGGCCGCTTCACGATGTGACAGACTTTCGTCACGCCCGGCGGCAGTGTGGGCGGTGTGGGCGTTTTGGGCGTGGTCGGCGTGGACATGACTGCAAGTGGAATGGAATATATACAAAGAAATTCGATTAAATGTTTAATTGTATAAAATAAACGAAAGACTAAATAAAGACTTGAATTACTACACAAACAACTATATTATATTTATATATTATTTACTGTTGGTTCTGCCTAATCCACGTTCGCTTTAATCTCTCGAGCTGCTACAAATGAAGCAATTCAATAGCAATGACTCAATTTGATACTCCAAACACTCACGAGTCGCTTAGTGTTCTAAATGAGCTCTATGATATGAGCTCGTTGCAATTGACTCGCCTCAGCTTGCTTTATTCTGCTTCTTTTCTTTCAGAGCTTGAAATGTTAAAATATTATTGTGATAAAAGGTAAAGAAATTCTATATTATTTATGGCTCCAATAAACAGCTGAGGGTGTTGGAGAATATTCTCAGAGTAATTTGTTAGGCTTTGTAGTCTTAACCGCCTTTGGCTTATCACTCGCGCATGTACAAACTTGAAATTATGCACTGAACGTGTTTAGGCCAGGTTAATTCAATTGACCCATTAATGAATTCGTAACATGGCCAACAGCTGCAGTTCTTGCTTATCTGCTAAAATATTGCCTTTGTTACTCTTTTGCTAAACATATTGACGACTTTTGCTATTTGTTTTCAAGTAAACCAAATAGAAATTCCACTGACATGTGCTCATGGGTCAGAATGCCAATTGTATTGTTGGGGGCTCTTATCGTGGGCGTTACGTCAGGTAACGTGATTTTCGGCATATATTTGGCACTTCCATTGGTTGCCGTTAAGTACAGGTAATACCATGAGTTGCCACAATGCAACTGAATAGGCTGTGGAACAACTATTCAATTGATTATTGAGCTTACCTACGCGCATATTTCACCTGTCAGAAAAGGTTCTGTTATGTTTGGCCAACAATTGCTGTCAACTTGAAAAGTCATGTAAATAAATTTTTGTTTCAATATATTATACTAGCTGGCCCGGCAAACGTTGCATTGCCCTCTATATTATTTCTAGGTAAAAAATKRTTRAWAGSTATGTTGTTCAKGTTGGKATACACTCTGATTAATTTATTAATCGGATTTTCATTCAAGCGCCTTGTAAAGGACATTCTTCGTTTTTTGGTCAGGTGCAAGAACAAATAATGCGGATGGTTTGCCAACACGT